TGAAGCCCAAGGCTGCCTCTAGGATGGCACAGCACAGGAGACCCTGACGAGGCTGCACCCTCAGGAGCCTGGCTCCATGTGACGAAGCAAAACACACACACCCTCGAAACCAAATCAGTGTTTGGGAAGGTTCAAGAGAATTCTACCTACAGACACTGGTACTATCAGCTACTTCTGCAAAGCCAAAACCAGAGAAATCCCAGTTCTCAGGCTGGACTAGATTATAATAAAAAGAAATGTTCTTTAATAATATTTTAGGGCACCCTCCCATTTTTTAGCCAGATAGATTTTACTTATTAAAACTTTGCAAAAAAAATTATATTGGGCCAGCCCCAATAGCCTAGGCCCAGGTTTGGTTGCTGGGCGTAGAACCACACCACTCGTCTGTCAGTGGCCATGCTGTGGTGGTGGCTCACATAAAGAAAGAAAAAAAGAAGAGTAAGATTGGCAACAGACGTTAGCTCAGGGTGAATCTCCCGCAGCCAAAAAAAAAAAAAATTATATTGACCTGAAAATTTAAATGTAAAGCAAAGAAAAGCTATTGTAAGATCTAGCGCTGACCGAAATGGGAGGCTCTTCAGAAACTTGTGGCGGGGCCAAGTAAACCTCAGCCAACTTCACTGTTTTCCACCTAACTTGGGAATGCCCTATCCACTTCTATGGCCAGTGATTACACCAATGACAGAAGATTCAACTCAACCAGAAGACGGGTCCCTTCCTTCAGAGCCCAGGAGAGTACGCCGACCTGTGACATGCCGTCTCTGAGCGCCTGGCTCTCCCTCACCCTGAGGGCAGAGGTCAGGGTGCGTCCAGGCTCACCGGCACGTCAGCCTGAGTCCAGGGAGCACCCCACACAGCAGCAGTCACCACGCACCCCAGCATAACATCAAGAATCAGCCGCTAAGGGGAGCAGCGACAACCTCTATGTGCACTTCGAGGCTGTTTACAGGCCGTCCCATCACCAGGATGCGTGCTTTCCTCTGGGTCTGGTTCCAAAGGCCTCCAAGTAACAAGGAAACCTGCTGGGTATTGTGAAATAAACCATCAAAAGAGAACGTGCTGAAAATTCCACAGGAGTCTCTGCCCTCGTGTGGGGAATGGAGAGGGGCCGGCAGAATACTAAACTTGCTGCTCCAAGATGATCAAAGCCTCCAAGAAATGGAGGCAACACTCAGAGAGACTCGGAGAGAAAAATGAGGGGAATGTCTTCTAATCATTGAACGACTTATTTCTGCACAGTTTTACCCAATCACCTTCCATAGATATAGGACACTTACGTGAAAAAATGCATAATGTGGGTATGCCAAAATCACAATTCTTTGGTGCCTGTACATCATCTGTAGTAAGCACGTGTATGTAAATATATACACATGTACACATACATGTATACATATAACATAATACATATATGTGACATGACATGCCAATTTGGGCACAAAAAGAATAAAAGTTAAGAAATTGGCTTCCTAGATAATGAAGTACAGATTTAATCCAAATATGTTTACATATTTAGAAGAAAAAAATGACATTTACTAAACCAATGGGGAAAAGTTTGGTGGCAGTATTCCATTTAAAAAATGACCTTTAATTATTAACTTCAATTATTCTAGAAGTTAATATACCCAATTCTTTCAAGTTTCAGCAAACTACACTTCGATAGTGCATCATCTGGTGACACTGATATCTTGTTAAGTGTCAAAGTATGAGAGTCTATCAAGAAAGATTTGCTTTCCAACAGGTAAAGCAAACAAAAAAATCACACACACACTTGCAAACTAAGAAAGCTTTAAAATACTGACTCTGTCTATGAAATAGTTCTCTTTTGAGGAAGAAAAGAAAAAATGTCTGAACATGTTTGCATTAGAATCTGATAATGCAAACTGCTAACTGCTGTGGAACAGCTCTAGGAACAGCCCGGTGATTATCCAGGAGCTCCCATGAATCCACTGTAACCCAGAGCCCCAGACCACGAATGACAAGCGGGCAGGGGTGCCGCACAGGCTGCCGTGACCTCAGGGACAGATGTCAAAGATGTGCACCCTAAGGGCTGATTCAGACTTACGCTGTATAAGGGTCAGCTACACGGGGGCCTTCCCGATGGGGGTGTCTGCAATGATATGGCTGCCTGCCGTGCTGCTGAATGGGGCACGTGGATTCCCCTTTCTGACTCTCCGGGAAGGAGGGACCATATACCCAGAGACCACCAGTGCCTCCTCCAGAACACCAGCTCCGAGCTTGAAGGCCTGTGCTCCTCCTCTTTCCCTGCAGAACACTTGGCCCTTTTGTTTGAAGGCTAACTCCGTATTCTGAAACTAATAAAGCTTATTGCATTGCTACCTCAATTCTATCATTCCTAGTCACTTACTTCTAACCTAACTTACATAGTCATCTTTTTCTCTTTAGAAACTTTATAAAAATGAATTGAGTATTTCCATCATGTCCCCCTGAAATAAAGCGTAATATTAAATTGTCCAATTTTCCTTGTAACCCAGTGATAAGAACTGTGATGAGGTCTATCCATAACCTCACTGGTACTATAGAATTAGCAAAGTGTAGAAGTTCAAGGATTTAAAAATAAGTAAGCATTTACGCAACAAGATACTTTTCCAAAAATTATTGTTTTATGCTTGCAATATTTTAAAAAACTTTACAGACAGATTTCTGAACTTGAAGGGAGTCTCAATGGCAGCTCTAGAAAACCCAAATGAGATATGAGTACATTAATAAATTGACACGTGCTTCATTTACAAAGGTAAACACCCTCTATCTGTAACATGCTTTCACGAGTCTTTAATACATGACGAGGCTAAATTTAGAGCTAAACATCATGACACCCCCATCCCCATTTGCTGAGTCCTGCTCTGCTAAAAACAAATCAAAACACACCAGGCTCAGCACTCTTGTCATAGTCAACAGTCCACTACAAGGGGGCAAACCTCCACATTTCATCAGAGTAGTTCTCCAAAGGGCATTTTGTAGTGATTTCAAAACTAAGCCCACCAGAAAATCTTTACAATAATTTCATTTCCAAATTTTCCTAGATCATATTTTTAAAGGAAAAGTTTTTGCTGTTTTTTTCCCTTTTTATTAATCTGGGTTGAAGAAAAACACACATTTCATTTATTGTCTGGATTATAGATTCTTATTAAACGAACCAGAGCTCATTATAAAATCAATATCAACTTCACCACCATGCCCCCAGGAGGAACAGCACAAAGGTCACTCCAAGAAATTCAAACAATTTTCCTGCTGGAAGGCCATGATTTTAATTACAGAGACTATTAATTAGAGCTGTCATTCGGAAGATTATTTTTCTGTTAATTATCACAAAGTCAGTTCTACGTATGCATTTTCAACCTGCATTTTTGTCAAAATTAGTCATTTCTGCATGCAAGTCCAACCTTTCCATTCTTTCAATATTTTATATTTGAATTTCAAAGTGTATCAAAGGATGCCATGTCTTCTAAAAATCTACCGCCGTATGATCTCCTGTCACACACGGAACAAAACCGGGGTGATAATTTATTTATGTCCTGGCACAGACCTGGCCCAGAAGACCCAGAATCCTACACTGATGGTCTCGCTCAATAGAATTTCTGGATGAATTCTTACTAGTTTATGTGACATTTCTTCCAGGCTTCTTCAAACATGATTCTTCTTTTGCTTTGAAGCAAAGCTATGCACTGTGACTGAAATGCCATCTCCACACATTTGAAGTTGCCGTTTCTTCATAAGAAAAGATCGCACTGACCAGGCTTCTGATGTCCTCCAGAAAACGAGAGGCTTTTTCCATCACTGACAATACCAAGAATCCTGAAATGGGAAAGAAGCTATCTCCTGGCCTCCTCTAAGCATAGAGATTTTATAAATTCATCCCTGCTCCTTACATGGGACAGGGCAGGGCGGCCCGTGGAGCACAAAAAGTCAGCTCAGAGGAGCTCACGGGGGGCACGTGCAGGACAATCATTGGGGGGTGTTTTGTAGAAACAGCTCGAGAGTCCCCCCCCTTATAACTCTGATAGAATAATGATATTTAACCTGTATATGATTGTAAAATATTATGTATTATTTACAAGACACGTTACACATCATAATCATGTGACTAGAGAAAACAAAGAGTCTAATCCAATGGGAGAAAAACTTTCACAAATTTATATGGATTAAACTTTTAAAACGATGATTAAGTAAATTATTTTACCTTCCCAAATGGGAAAATATACATGGAGTTAAATGACATTTTACGCTAAAAGAAATCAAATGCCCTAACTTATATATATTCTGGGCTTGCATTGCTGTTAAGAAGGCACATTCTCATTACAGGACATTATTAAATGTGAAGTGTATGCCACAGAAGTTTCAAAAATTCTGTGAATTTTTTTATGTCCAATTTGGTCTGAACCTGCCTTCCTCACATTCTTGTTGGTTTCTAACGTGTCTGCAGGTGTGCCTGGAACACTTCTGTCTGACCAGCACACAGCTGCCACGTTGTTCTGGGAGACACCCTCAGTTTACCTTCCCTTTATCAGCGTTAGATCTCATCTATGCGAATAATGGCAGAGGGTGGCAACCGATGGGGTCAAAGATCTTTTCCTGTAAGGCCCTAAGGAAGTTCCCAATCTGAGACATCTTCGAACATCAACACAACCAATTTGTCTTGCAACTCTGGCATTTTTCATTAATAGTGGCCAAACTAAGAAAGATAACAGATAATACATAATTCATGTATTGTACTTTCTCCACACTTCTAATTAGCAACCCACTTTCACAGCTAACATGAGACTATCCAAGAACAGCGTAAGATTAATATAGAGCAGTAAAACTGTGGTTGCAAGGTATTTACATGAATGCTAATGAGAAGTTTCAAACTGTCATCATAGAAGAACCCAAACTATGAATAAATGAACAACTGCTGGGGATGGGGGAGGGGCCAGAGGCAGTTAAATAATCTGTTCAGCTGATGAATCAAATGGAAGCAGCACTTAACAGGAGGTCTCTTTTACCTGGTAGGCGGCCGTGGCATCCGGGCCCGGGTGGCCCCCTGGTCCCGAGAGCTTCTCCTTCAGCCTGTAGTGAGAGCCGTGGCGAAGACAGTAGATGATGCCGGAAGCCAGGAGGATCCCCAGGATGGCAGCGATGGAGATCAGGGTGAGCACGATGAACTTGGTTGAGTCCTCTTGCTCTGCCTGATGAGGCAGAAGCTTGAGTTTGCTTTTCTGTAGAACAGGAGAGAGGGGCATGTTAGTACCTAACAAATCATGAGCTCCTAAAAACCATCCTTTCCAAACACAACTCCAAATGTAATGCTCAACACAACACACACAGCGTTGGCATTAGAAGAACAGGAGGGCCGTCCAGAGCAGCAGCCCTCCGGCGAGAAGCAGAAGTTATGTAACAAGAGCACACCACAGATTCCAGTGTTTTCAGGAGGAAAGTTAGAGCCACCACTTTTTTCTGTCTGAATGGTGGCCGTTTATCAAACTTAAACATATAAAGTCTGGCAGTTAATTTACTGGCCTAAGTAAAATAAAGCGTTCATCCTTTCTCTTAAACAGGTGTGAGGAAAATTCATCAATTTACCCAGAGCACGCGTCCCAGATGTTTGGGGGGTGGAGGGGAGGGGCCCTAGACCTGCTGTGGTTAGAAGCCAGCAGTGGAAGTCCAACAAGTCTTCGCGCACAGAACAGGGCTGGGTTTTGAGTTTCACGCTAACATTCTCGGTAGTGCTGCAGGGGAGTTGCCATCCTGACGGAAGCCGCTCCGCTTGCCTTCCGAGGCCCGTCACCGGTAGGACCCCACCTCCTGGGCCCTCTCCGCACGAGCGCCTGGGGCGCAGACCCCAGCACCTGGCTGGCACCTCAGCACCGCTCCCTGGAAGACTGAGGGGCGTCTGGAGCACGACGGTCCAGGAGTTCACTTCTGGGCGGTGTGAAAAGTCAGGGAGCCAGACTCCAACAAATTCTCATCACTTCACGGGGCGGGGGTGTGAGAAAACCCTTCTGGGGCATTTCACGGGTCCCCACGTGCAAAGAGTTGCACGGTGCTCGCCCTCATTAGCTTCATTATGAGGAATATTAGCAACAATTAAAACCGGCGCAGGAAGAGGGAGAGGACGGCGGCGCCGCGACTCCGGCCAGCGCGCCCTTCCACAATTACTCGGGAAATGAATGGAAACGCACGCCCCCGCCTCGGTCCTGGTTGCTACAAGATGAGAACAATTAGCAAACTCCTTTCCACCACCTAATTTCGCGTGGTAACAAAATGGATTTTTCCCCTTGAATGCCTGGCCGGCCTATTCATTATCTCTCTTCTATTAGTAATTTTCTGCTCCGTATTCACCCTCCCAACTCGTCATTTCCTCCTGTCTCCGAGTGTACACAGGGCCTCTGATGTCAGGCTGGGCCATTTTTATCTTGTAATCATAAAGGCCACCAAGGCAATTATCGCCGGTCTTGACTGGAAAAGCTGGTCATTAATTAGCCTCCTTTTGCCTTCGGTGCTGCGGATTAGCCGGTGCCGGGACTGAGTTAATGGAAACGCGGGTTAAATGAGAAAAGACGCCTGATTTTCCTGCCTGGATGCGCGGCTCCGCGGACAGCGAGGTTCGCCAACCGCGGGAGGGGACGGCGGGGGTGGTGGTGGGGCGGGGGCGCAGAGAGGGGGAGGGACCAGGATGCCGGGGAGAGGGCGAGCGCGGCGCGCCGCGCCGCAGCCCGCGGCCGGTGTGGCCCGATCCTGCGGCCGCCTCGGCGGGGAGACCCTCCGCATCCCCTCTCCACCTCTCCCCTCGCCCCTCCCTCCCCGGCCCACGCGGCCGCCTCCAGGAAGAAGTCACCCCAAGGCAGCCGGCGTCCCCCCGCCGCCCGGTCGCCCCGCACCTGGTGCCCGCCCCGCGCCGGGCGAGATCCAAAACCACACAAACGGGACCCGACGCGGCGCCGCGAGACCCAGGCGGGCGGAGGGCGGGCGACCGGCCCGGGTCCTCGCCCCGCGCGTCGCCGGTTCGCGCCCGTCCGACAGCGGCGGCGGGTTACAGGGGAGCGCGTCCCTCGGTGCCCTCCCGGGCGGTCAGCACCGAGAGGCCGCAGCGCGCCGGGCCGGGGGAGCTGCCCAGACCCGGCCGGGGTCGCTCCCGGAGAGCGCCCGCCAGGCTCCGGGCCGGGGTCCGGGGTCGCCGGTCGCCGCCCCGGGTTCGCGTTCCGCCGACGGGGCCGCCTCCCTCCTAAATTCCCTCCCCCAGGAGAGAGCCTAGAAGGGGTGGAGGCGTTTCCAGCAGGACGGCTGTCCTCCCCCCGCCCCCCGCGCCGCCGGGAGGCTCCTTCGGGACCGCCGAGCCTCGGCAAGCAGAGCAGGACCACAACAAAGGAGGCGACGCGGCCGAGGAGAGGGCGTCCCGCTGCCTCCCAGGCCGGCCCGGCCCGGCCCGCCTGGCGGTCACTGCGCGCCCCTCACCCCGCCCAGGCGACTGGCGGTCCCCGCGCCCCCCACCCCCAGGGCGTCCGGCTCAGGCATCGGGAGGACCTGCGCGCCCACGTGGCAGACGGCGCCTGACAACAGGGACTTCCTGAGCCTTCCTGCCCGGCGACGTGAGGCGCACACGCGCGCGGTGACCAGCCTGGCTCCGAGGGGACGCGCAGTGCCTCCATGTGTGGCAGGCGCATCAGTGCGCACCCGACCGACTGTAGCACGCGCCCTGGGGACGAAGGGCCGGCTGCGGGCGTGGGGCGGCCGGAGACGCAGGGTTTCGCCGCCAGGGCGGCCGCAGGCTCACCGTGAAAGGGGCAGCCGGTTGTCACTCGGTTCCAGGTGAGAGGCCGTGAACGCACAGGAGCGGCGCCGAGGAGGAGGTGGCGGTGCCCACACGTTAACCTGGCTCAAGCCTGGGGCGACAGGAGACACCCCGGGCGGGCGTTCACCGGGAGGCCGCGCCGCAGCTCTTCTCCGGGAGGCCGAATGGCCGGCACGGTCCTTGTCGCCAGAAACCGACGGTCACCGTGACCCGAGACGCGCTCAGAAGACGCGGGGAACGGAACCGGGCCTGCCCGGCTGCCTCTCACGCGGCGCGCTGGTAATTTACTCAAAGGTCAAAGGAAAATGTCAAGGAGAGTGACTGCCCTAAGAGCCCGCTGCCCCTCCTCCCGCCGCCGGCCCCCGCTGGGTCCCCCGCGCTCCCGGAGGAGAAGGGAAGGAGGCGAGGGAAGAGGACGGAACTCCATGCCCATTGAGTCCCTTGTCTCTGGTCTCCTCCAGGCCCCCGCAGAGAAGGGGTGACGGTGGTCCCCAGGCTGGGCGGGAGCCGCCAGGTTACCTCCCAAGGCCCACGCGCAAGGAGGACGTTCCTGTAGCCAGGGAAGAGGGGTCGACGAGGCTGGGGACGGCGGGCACCGGGTCGCGGCGGGGCCTGGACACCGGGGGCCGTCGGTGACGGTGGGCAACGTCGGAGTGAGGGACGGGAGCGGGGTCTGCCCCGGAGGGGAAGGCGGAGTTGGAAGAGGGATCCCGGGTTCGACCAGTCTGACGCTGAGGTCGCGGGATCCCAGGGCCCGGCTGGGAACCCTCCCTCCCGCAGGCCGGCGGGCTTCTCGGCTGGAACCCGAGAAGTCACTCTTCCCCGGCCCCTCCCCCCACAACGGTTCCAACATCCTACCCTGTGCTGCGCGGGAGGATCAATCCGGGAGGGAAAACGGGCTGTAAGTCAGCTCTTAAAGAGTCCCGCGAGAAACGAAAATTTATAGAAATTCTACTTTAAAAAAAAGTTACACAGTGAACTCCCCTCCTTGGCAAAGTGATTGAGTTTAAATAACTTTACAATTATTTCATTTCCTTTCTTTTTGTGGAGTTAAAAAAAAAACCAAACTTCAAACCCTCGCTAACTAGGAGCTTGAAGAGAAAAAAATGAGTCTGCTATCAGCTTAAAAGTGAATTTGATCCACAGTCCTGTCGGTCCCAGGTGTGACTTGGGTGGGCCTCAGCTCCCCAAGACTGGGCGACTTGAACTACAGGTACTCTCCTGAAGCCTTGTCCCGGGGCCCAGCCCTGCAGAGAGCCCACCGCTAATTAGAGGCATCTTGTCAGTCTTGACTTGAAACTGAAAGAAAATAATGTTTAAATATTTATGACTTTGACATTTACAGTCAGGCGTCTGTTAAAAGCGGAACACCTCCTTCTGTACAGTAGCAGCTCGCTTTGCTGAAAGTTTGGAGCAGCGGGTGGAGTGAGGAGGAAGGGGTGGAGAGAGGGGCAACGCCGCAGAGCAGCAGGGTATCTGTGCCCCCCACCTGGTGGGAGACACACATGCAGGCACCTAGTACTAAGTTTTCAGATGCAGAAAAGTGGGATTTTAAAGTAATCAGGAATAATTAAGCCAGCTTTTTCTATCAGCTTAGATGTATCTTAAGAGTAAACTGAAGTACAATATTGCTTACTTCTTCCGCTCAACCATCCCCACCTGCAGCTCCTTGAATTTAAAATACAAAATATTGCAAAAGCTGTGATTTGAAATAAATGTGTGACCACAGAGACAATTTGTGGAATTGCTCTTAGAAATCGGAAGCTACAGACACTGTCCTGACCTATTTAAACTATTTTGATCTGTGCTTGTAAGTGAAGGTGCATGGCGCTTCCCTTACATTATCCTCTGAGCCACTCATGGCAAAGTATCTTCAAAACTTTTCGTTCTTTTTTTTCAGCTGTCCATGTGGTAAACTTAAAAGGAAGAAGAGAGAAGAAAAAAGAACATTCTATACCCAACTTGATTGTGAGAACTGAGGCAGCCACATAAATACAACACTTTATGGTGACAAATATTTGTTGACAGGTAGCAAAATTTAGTATTTTTCCAAGGCTGTGCAATGTAACCAGTTAACAAGAGCAATTCATTGTCTAAGTCACTGACTTGCCATTTTAAAATACAGTCCTACCAAAAAACTTATGGGCACAAGCATTCAATTTCATTAATATTAAACTTCTAATGTGGTTGATGTTTTAATTTGTATGTTTCTAAGGAATTTGACTTGCAAACCCAGCCTCATCCTGTGTTCCTCTGTACTTTTATGTTACTGTAATTGTAAAGACCCTTTTCCCTGTAAAATTTAGAAATTAGTATTAGAGACTACCAATGAGTTGTTATAACAAGACTGCCTTTGGTTTCCTAGATGAAATTATTTGGAAATTTCATGCTAAATTTACTGAAATATATTTACTAAAATATAGTAACTATCACTTTAAAGCTGATCAAAATTTTTAACAGTTGTCAGGCCATGAGAATGACCAAACTTAAAAATATGGGGAGTGCGGGGTGTCTTAAAATATTTTAAAAGTATTTTTTAAAGCTGTTAACTGAACTATTTTTAATTTGGAATTCGCCACAGAATTCTAATAAATGAGAGAAGTCAGGCGGAAATAATCATGTATTAATTCTCTGCATTACAAAATCTTTTCAGAAGCTATTATCAGAGCAAGAGGCATTGCGGTCTGAATTCAGGGTGGGAGAAATCCTTTGTGCAACTGAAAGCCATTGTTCCTCGGTGCAGATGAAATTGTACTTGCAAATCTGCCATTCAAGTAGCCAAAAAAAAAAAAAAAAAAAAAAGCCTATATGGGCAAAAGAAAAGACTCTCCAAGAAATAATTATTCTTAAATATAAACTTTAGTGAAAATAGGTGGGGATATGCTATTTTAAAATAGGCTATTTGCTGAGTTTTTTCAGGCATAGGCCTAAAAGTAAGTATACAAAACATAATAAATTGTCTATTTGCCATCTTTAAGCACTCTTAGAACATCAATTTTGGGGAAATACTCTGTTTTAAGATATCAGGGAATATTTACGGTATTTATGTTTAAAGGGGGAAAAACCACCCTCATGGGAACTAATTTTTAGGAGAGCTTGATAAACAACAAATTGTCTCCGGGAGAATAGAGAGCGATCAGCTGGGAACAGACCGAATGAATCAGCCCCCCAGGAGAAAGCCTGCCCTAGCCATCTTTCAGACCCACTGCCGGCATTTTTATTACACCCGAACTCAAACTCGGCCAATAAACTTGATGCGCCCGCTCGCGACCCGCGTTTTTGGTATGCACATTGGGTCCCCGAGGCCTCCTGTGACACAGGCGCACACGCGCGCCTCCACGGTCAGGTGTTTCCGTGGTCTCGAAGAAGGAGTTTCCCGCGCAGGATTGGAGTTTCTTTTTCTCCTCCTTCGTGGAGCCTAAGGAGCCCCATCCTCAAGACTCGGCTGGCGTCTCGGGTCAGGACCCGCTGGGGCGCTGCTCGGAACGTGTGGCCGGGAGCGCACGGCCCGTCTCGGCCCCTCCCCCACTCGACAGGCCGCAGGCTTTCTTGCCTCTCCTTCCCAGTCCCTCCCCCTCACTTATTTACCAGATCCCACAGAGGTCGGAAAGATCAGACCGAAGCGTCGGACACAAAGGGACGAGGGTTCCTGGGAGCCGCGGGTATTCACAGCACTGAGGGGTCCCGAAGCCCCGGGCCCCCTTCCCCGCGGGGACAATGCCATCGCCCAGCCTCCCCTGCCACAAAGCGCTTGGGCCGCGGGGCACAGACCAATGTCCCAAACGACGTCCGCGTCTCCCCAGGATCCCGGGGGTTTCACAGGCCAGGGCCGCACATCTCTGCTGCCCTACCCAACCACGGCCACCCCCTCTCGGAGGCCAAGAGGGGTGTCCTTGGCTGGGTGGGGGGCATTTCCTCCTGCGTTGGTAGGAAGAAATGAGCTTCCGTCTCCCTGCTCCTGCGCACAAACCTTCACCTCCTCGCACTTGCGCTCGCGTCTAAATTCAGGGAAGGCTGGCTTGGAGAAGACGACTTGGACCCCAGGCGGGGAGGCTCCCCGGAGCCGAGCAGGGACCGCTGTCTGCGGACTTAGCTCGGCACCTCGAAACCAGAGCAGAGGGACGCTCAGGGGGAGGGGCTGGGGGCAAGGCCCGGACAGCAGGGCCACCAGCGGGAGCAGGTGTCCACGCTGCTGACGGTGCGGCGGGGACCGCGGGCCGGGGGCTCCTCGCGGTTCTCTGGCTGTGCGTATGGGAGTGCAGTGGGCACTGGCGATAGCGACAAAGACCCCCCCCCCCACAGCCGTCCAGCGTGGAGCGCGGCGAGCTCAGTGCACCGATGACACAAAAGGGCGGGAGACTCTCTCCGGCTGTAAACCCGATTCTGCTGAGGTTTCAACGTCTAATTTTGGGGTCCGCCCGACTGGAGCGAGGCTTCTTAAGGCCTCAAAGCAGCCCACAGTTCAGAACCACACAGGTAGTTAATGAGGGAAGGAAATGAAGTCCCTCCTTCAAACAGCTCCGCGTCAGAAGTTTCTCTCTCTGGCGAGCACGCGGCCGCCTCACCTCGGGGGGCCGAGAAAGCGCAGGTTCCGTTTGGGGGAGGGGAGGGGGCCGCTCCGAGGCGTTTGTCCAAACGGCTGGGGGACTCCGAGGACCCTCCACTCTCACCCACGGCCCCACCTGCCCCTCATACGCTCCTCCCTGCGCGCCCATCCAGTGTCCTCTAAGTGGGACACCCCAGCGGCACAGAGGCGCGCTCCCGGACCGAGTGCGGAGGGCGAAGAGCGCCCAAATGGGCTGGGAGGAAAATGCCCCCACGTTGGCTCCTCTCCATCCTGGAAGCTCGTCCAGTCCTTCCTTTTCTTTTCCCACACCCCTCCCCATCTGCGTGCCCCCGGCCCCTCTCTCGACGTTCTGAACTGCCCGGAGTGGACAGCGTCGCGACAGGAAGAGAGGAAAGCGCTCCGGGAGAAGTCCGAGGGGCAACGTCCGCAGTCTAGTCGGGCGGGCTCCGCGGGGCGCTGGAGGTGGAACAGCTGCCACCCCCTCTCAATCTTTGAGCCCAGGAAGAGCTGCCTACCCTGAAATGTCCACCCCAGACCCACTTAAGGATGGCCTCAGACGCAGACATCCCCTGCCAGCCGGAGCTTTGACAGGCGCCCTGCTGCGAGTCCGAGTTAGCCTCTGGTCTGGGCTCTCCGACGCCCAGGTCGCCCGTCCGAGTCGCCCATGTGCATCCTCTACCCTTCCCAGGTTCCAGATCCGCACCCCGCCACCTACGCACCTGGCGACGCCTTCGGTGGGTCCCTCTTGCTCCCTTTCGCCCCCACACCAACCCCTCTCCCGTCTCCTGCAGTCCCACCAGTGCCCGCGCCCCGGCCTGGAGCCCCTGGTTACCTGCAGCAGGGCCAGCGCCGGGTGCCCGAGCCGGAGGAGGGGGGGGCGTGCGCCGGGCCGAGCGGCTTCGGGGCGCGGCGGCCGGGGGCGGCGGCGGCGCCATCACCACCGCCAGCCGTTTCCCTGCGCCGGAGCCATAGACGAGCCGGGCCATCCTGCTTCTGACCACAAACTTCTCGGGCGGCCGGAGGAGACAAAGGTGCCGTGTGCCGCGGCTCCAGAAGCTGCGGCAGCGGGGCGGCACCAGCTCCGAGCCCGCGGGCGCCGGCAGCTCTGCGCGGCTGCTTGGCCGGGCCTCGGGGC